TGAAAAGCGCCTTTCACGTCGGGAGGACGTCCTCAAGGTGCTGAACAGTCAGGGATCAGGACCCTCGCGTAGGGGGCAGAGTTGGGATGAGGGAGGGCAGAGGTTAGGAGGGCGGCTGAAGGCACGGTCAAAAAGGAGGGTCTTGAGTCATGCCTTGAAGGAGGCGAGAGAGGGAGCAAGGCCAAGGGATTGTGGAATGGAGTTCCAAAGAGTGGGGGCAGAGAGGCTGAAAGCCTGACCACTGATGGTAGGGCGGGTCGGGTGGGAAACCTGGAACAGGCCAGAGCCTGCTGAGCGGAGAGAGTGGACAGGTAGGTAGGGGGTCAGCAGCTCAGAGATGTAGACGGGGGCAATGCCGTAGAGGGCCTGGAAAGTGAGGGTGAGGATTTTGAATTCTATCCCCTGAGGAATGGGGAACCAGTGGAGTTGGGCGAGGGTGGGAGTGCTGGGGTCACGGAGCCTGGTGCAGGAGAGGACATGAGCTGCAGATGATCTGCATCTTGTGAAGGGAAGAGTTATTACAATAATCTCAGCATGTGTTTGGAAACATTTTAATGCATGTTTAAAACAATACGTAGAAGCGACTTTGTTATCAGCATTTCCATACTGTAATGCTTGTCTTATTGTTTTTAGAAATGGCATTTTTTCCCCAATAGAAATGCTAATAGAACCGGTGAGAAAGGTCGTATTTTGACATTCTCTCGGTGCTCCAGATTAGAGTTTTAAACCCGAGAAAACAACGGGCGTCTGATTCATTTCCAATTAACTCTTATCGGCCAAAGGTTTCTACCTCCCGATGAAAACACAGCCTCTGTTACTGTCAGAGAGAACAATACTTGGGGATCATTGACAACCTGGACCGGAAAGGTCAGCCGATAATGTGAGTTGATGTGATTCAAATGAATGAATGTAAATTTATTTCTGAAAATGACATTTTAAAACGTTGAGGTCTAAACGTTGGAGAAGATCAGTGTCTAAAGGCCCAGAGACAGACAATTGGGCAGAAATTCCACCCGCGTTTAGATTTAGACGTGTGTCAGCCTGGTTCAGTGGTAGCGTTCCCGCCTCTTATTTGGGACTTGGCATCACATCGTCCAAAGTGATGTTGCAATTCAGTGCTGGGGGTGGGGGGGGTGGGAGGGGAGGATGGGGGTGGGGTGGGGTGGGGAGAGTTGGGGGTGGGGGAGTGGGGGGCTGCATTGTTGGAAGTGCCGTCCTTTCAGATGAGACATTAAACCATGGTCCAGCGTTGCATTGGAGCCTCAGCCTAGACTGTGAGCTCAAAGTCACGACGTGGGGCTTGAACCCACAACCTTCTGACCCAGAGGCTGAGACCAAAATAAAAAGGACCTAAGCAGCCGTGTACAGCAGGAAGGCTGAGAACAACTGTACCAGATCTGGTGACACATCAATCTCAGGCTCGGTCAAGCGGGCGGTGACTCACATCAGAAGCCAGTTGTGTCTCACAATGAGAGTTTGTGTAATTACTGTCTGTCTTGTTAATGCTCTTTAATCACATGGCCATTTACATCAGTGGTTACATCGCACCCAATGTAGATTTGATGTCTCAGTCTGTGTTCACTCTGATTGTGCCTATGACTGCACAATATTCCTATTTGAGGAACCCACCTGTAGCTCAGTGGTTAGGGCACTCACCTCGCAAGCGAGAGACCTGGGTTTGATTCCCGGGCGGGCGAAACATTGCTTCGGAACAATAATTGGAACAATAATTTTAGCTGAAAACGACTGTTTCCTTACTCCACATGTCTCTGTTTACCTGGCAGTGAGTAGGCACGTAGCTGTTAATCGATTGCCGGTTCGCTTTTCCGGAGGCAATAAACTATTCAAAAACAAAATACCAATAATAAGTTTGTTCACTCAACCCACGGGACTGTTTGTGAGACGCTGCTGTGCGCAATTGGCTCCCGCGTTTCGCCCACAAAATCTACAGTCAATTCACTTTACAGTCTATCCTGTGAAGCGCTTTGAGACGTCTCAAAGATGTGATAAGGCACTGTATAAAACGCAAGGATTATTATTATTATTATTATAACTGGAAAACACAGAGTTTTAAATTTCAACATCAGATGAAGACTTTGTTCCTGCAGTTCCCACATCGGCTGTCAGTGAGGTTGTCACGGTCTGACCCAGTGACAGGCAGGACCTGTGGATTCACACTCAGTGTGCCAAGCACAGACAAAAACAACAAATTGCGGTTACACAACAACTTTCACGTCAGCAGAACATCCCAAGGTGCTGGACAGTCGAGGGTTTGCACCCGAGCTGCAGGTTGGAGTCGGGAGGCGTGGAAGGCAAGGGGTGTGAGGGTGGGAAGATGACCGAAGGCGCGATCAAATGGGCTGCTTCTCTTCATAACCTTCATAACGAGAGAGAGAGAGCGAGAAAGGGAGAGATATAAGGGACAGAGAGAGAGCGAACAGAAGAAATAAACAAGTGAGAGAGAGAAAAGAGACAGAGTGAGACAGACAAACAGAGAGAAACGAGAGATAGAGAAATGAGAGAGAGAGACAAGCCAAAGAAAAAGAGAAAAAAAAGTGTTGAGAGAACTGAGAAACAAATGAGAGAGCAAGAGGGCATAGCCACCCACCCCATCCCACTCTGCTCAATCCTTTATTATTTCTGGCTCACTGCAATAAACAACATCTTGTGGTGTCCAGTGCTCGCCTCGCAAGCGAGAACCCGGGTTTGATTCCTGGTAGGGTGAAACGTTAGGCAAGTTTCTTTACTCCACAGGCCTGTTTACCCAGCAGTGAGTGACTAAACGATCTGGGATGCTACCCTGTTTGGAGGGCGCTATATAAGTGCAAGTTGTTATTGTTGTTGTAGGAACCCGGTTGTTAGTTGATTGGCGGATCGCTTTTCGGGGGTAATAATCCCTTCAAAAAATAATAATTTGGTCACTCAATCCACGACTGTTTGTGTGAACACTGCTGTGTGCAATTGACTGCTGTGTTTTGCCCACAAAACACAAAGTCACTACACTTTACAGTATATTCTGTGAAGCGCTTTGAGACGTCTTGAAGACGTGATAAGGCGCTGTATCAAATGTTAGGATTATTTTCCACACACCAGGGAGCTCAGTGTGTCCTGGTGAATACCGCCCCACTGTGGACGACCAGCAGAGCACAGACCGGCTCATGTCCAGGTACTCGACCGGTCAGTTACAGGGTAAGTTTGACACTGCGATCGACTGGAGCAGAGAGCTGACTCCATGAGGTGGCCGAGCCCATGTCTGTGCCAATTGATTAGAATTTGGGAATCGATTTGAGTCGGGAAGAACCTAAATCGGGAGAAAAAACTCGTCTGTGTTTGTGTGAAACTCCGATGGAGGTGTCAGACATGTTTTATTTCCATCTGAGTTTCACACATCGCCGTTGCTTAAGAGTCTCCAAACCAAACTGAGAATTCCATGCATTTCACTTACAATCATAAGAGAGATTGTTGGAATGGAATGTGCTCTCTCTCTCTCTCCCTCGAGGGCCATATCCTGTTTACCTAATTCCGGAGGGTATTAGGCGCAGGTTGGCGAGAGCCAAGGCTTGGGGGGGGGGGAGCCCAGAGTGTGCGTTGGGGTAACTGCTGGAGTCTAACCAACTAAACCCACACAGTTTGCCATTGGTATCACTGTCTGCCAAGCTTTCCCGCTGCTTGTCCAGCTGGGGCCACCCGACCCGTTAGGGCTTTGGCCGCAAGGTTAACAGTAACTGAGTGGGAGGATTCATAGGCAACATTGGCTCCAGGTGTCAGCCTGGCTCAACAGGATCCACCAACTGACAGCAGTACATATTTGCCCAACCCACATGTTAGACACAAAGTCTGTGGTAATGTTGACTTTCAGCAGCATTTTCTCCATAAAAGTCGTTCATCGCCCTCATTGAACGGGATTCCCCTCCCCCCCAAAACAGACACAAGCAACAAAATGGGTCATCAGCAAAACACAATCACCGTCAGAAAACAGTTTTATTTTAGGAAAAACAAATGTGATGAACGAAACGTCAACAATATCAAAGATACAGGAGTTAAATATATTTAAAAATAATAAAACCTTCAAGTAAGTTCTAGCATATATTAATAAACTATAGGTTCTTTGTCAAACACAGGTAATAAAGGCAAGTAGCTTCTTCCAGTATTAGTCAGATACACTGGTCCGTAGAAAATATAGTCGCTCTACTTTTTAGTGAAGCGCTTTGGAACAACTGGAACAGGAGAAGGCCATTCAGCCCCTTGAGCCTGTTCCACCATTCTATCAGGTCATGGCTGATCTGTACGTCAACTCCAAATGTATATTTGGTGGGCGTTATATGCTGTGAAGCTCTTTGAGACATCTCAGCGACATGATAAGGCTCTGTATAAATGCAAGGATTATATTATTATAAATAAAAATTTACTTTTAGTCACTTCCTAATGAAGGCTGAACTGAGGAGTTGTTCCCCGATTCCGTGCCGTGTGTTACAGGAAGGCATGGCAGGGCCCTGTGGGCTGGGACCAGGCGGAATTCGAGAGCCTGGAATGAGAACTGTAACAGGGTGGGGGTGTGTGCGAGTGACTGGATAACTGAGAACTTCACTGATCACCGATAGACATTCACAATAAAATAATAAATACCACAAAAAAACACAGAACAAAACAGAAGGGGTTTGGGGGCGAGAGGACACCCTCTCTCTCGCGTGACGAACACTGAGACATGAGGCTGGTCCCAGGTTTGGGCTCTAACCTGCCCCTGAGTCACACCACACACAGTGGCCGTGACACCAGCAACAACAACTTGCATTGACAGTGGCGAAGCCCGACACGACGCCCAGCTGGGGGGGGGGGGGGGGGGGGGGCAGGCGGTTCGAAGAGGAAGGGAGAGTGTTTCAGAGTTTCGGGGCCAACAGACCCTGGGTCAGGCGGCTCCCAACAATAAACCCCCAATACTGTGAGCTTCAAACTGAGTATTATTACTCTCAGGGGATTCAAGGTGTGCGTGTGTGTGTGGGGGGGGGGGGGGGGGCTCCAGGCAGTGATGGCCATGTGATGCTACCGGGTGACCTCGCTGTGGGTCTCGCTCTCGTCGTTCTCCTCCGGCTGGTTGTTGGATGTTGCTCCTGTGGACAACGAGGCCTCAGCCTCCCAAGGACTGGGGGTTTGGCCCCTTCCCGGGCCCCAGGCTCTGCTCCGGCTCTTGGGGACCCCGGGGGTGGGCGATGGGCAGGGACTGGAGTAGGGGGAGGGGGTGGGGCTGGGGGAAGCTCCCTCTATCCGTGTCCCATGCAGCATCTTGTACAGCTCCAGCTTCGCCACCAGGGGGCGGCCAAGGTCCACCTCCACCATCTCCTCCTTCCTCAGGTTCTCAGGCCAGGCTCGGTACTGCAGTACCACAGGCACCGTCAGGGGGCGCTGCCACACACAGCACAACGTTAACAGCAACCACAACAACAACAACAACAACACAGCGCCCTTCATGCGGGGAAGCGTCTCCGAGCACTTAACAGTGATGGGGCTGCTGCTGAGGAATGTGGGTGGAGGTCACCGTAGGCACTGGTTGAAGAGGAAGGTCTTCAGGTGCGACCTCAAGATGGGGAAGGAGGGGACAAGGCGGATGGATGGGGGGACAGAGTTCCAAAGCTTCGGGGCGTAGTGGCTGAAAATACGGCCACCGATGGAGGGGAGGACACAAGGGATATGCAGGAAACTGGAGACAGTGGGTAGCGGGTTGGGGAGTAAGTAGGTTGGAGAGGTAGGGAGGTGCCAGGGCCTTTCTCAAAGTGCTTCACAGTATATACTAGCAAAGTGTAGTAACTGTGTATTTTATGGGCGAAACCCAGCAGCCAATTGCGCACAGCAGCGTTTCACAAACAGCCGTGGAGCGAGTGATCAACTTTATTTGGGGGATTATTGGCCAGGACACCGGGAGAGAGAGAGAGAGAGAGAAACTCCCTTCTCTTTTCCAAAAGCCCTGGGAGATCTTTAACATCCACTGGAACAGGCAGACGTGATCTCGGTTTTAACTTGTCATCCGAAGGACGGCCCCTCCGACAGATCAGCGCTCCCCCGGGTCTGTATAGGAGGCTCAACGTAGATGATGTGATTCCGAGTCCCGACGTGGGGCTTGAACCCACCACTAGAGACGCAGAGGTGAGAGAGCGCTACCCCCTGCGCCAGACTGACACACGAGGGGGCGACAGGCGGGCGAGCGAGTGAGCGAGCGCGGAGCCTGGTTACCTGAAGGCGGTGAAGGCCGCACAGCTTGAGCACGGTGTCTGACTGGTGCTCGGAGACGGCCGATGAGAGCAGGGAGTCTGAGCCGCCCTCCAGGTCTGAGAATATGTCCTCCAGGTCCTGCACAACAACACCCGACATTTACACACCATCGGCCAAACCACCTCAATAATAACTTGGTAATAATAATAATTTGGTCACTCAACCCACGGCTATTTGTGGGGACGTCACTGGGTGCAATTGTCTGCCGTGTCTCGCCCACAAAATACGCAGTCACTACACTTTATAGTATATCCTGTGAAGGGCTTTGAGACGCCTCGAAGACGTGAGAAGGCGCTATATCAAATGCAAGGATTATTATTGTTTTAATAATAACTTTACAGGAATCACCCTCAAGTGTAGTGACTGTTTTTGTAATGGGAACCTGCTTAGCACGGCAGCATCCCCCCAAAAAATTTCCAACTAATTTATCTGGAGGATGGTTGGCGAGGGAGAGAGATGGATCTCACCTGGAGAGGCAGATCAAATCCACAGTTTAATGTCTCAACCTAACTACAGCATCTCAAACTTTTTTGTGGGGTGGGGCGGAGGTGGTGGGGCAGAGGTGGGGGTGAGTTGGCCGGGTGTTTGACACCCACTGAAATCCATCTCCGTGCTGCTCAAACCAGACACTCCTTGCATCCCACCCCCAACACATGGGAATTCCAGTGTATTGTATTGCAGTGGAATGTGCTCTCTCTCTCTCTCACCCTAATCCCAGAGAGTATTGTGTGTCAGGCACAGGATTGGTGAGAGCCAAGGCTTGGGAACACACAGAGCGTGTAGACTATCCCCAGCCTTGCGAGGCACGTCACCTGGGAACCAGGTCAGCCTCAAAGGGAATCCACTTGCCCCCCACCCCCTCCCTCCTCCCCCCACCCACCCCATTGAGCTGTGGGATCCCCTCACTGAACGGGGAGGACAGTTGATGAGTGAATGGACCAGATACCAGGGTATCTTAGATACTTAGATACCTAAGTCACAAGAGAAAACCCCTTACAGAACTAATTGCTATCAGCACTACTTCAGGGAGCGAGTAGGAAATTTATTGCACAGGCTCCCTAGGAAGGGAGGGAGGGAGGGAGGGAGGGAGACAGACAGACAGACAGACAGACGGTGGAAGCAGAAAATGTTGTTTCTTTCAAGAACAAATGAGATCGATTTCCGCTCAAAAATAATATCTGGGGACACAGCGTCTAGTTTGGGGACATGACATGTCAGTGACTGCCAGGATAGTGAAAGGTGAAGTAGACAGACCTTGGTCTTTATTGTCTAGCGATTCCTCTGATCCTGTCCTGTCAACCGAGGAACCATCAAGTGGAGCCAGAGTCCAGGCCCCGCTGTACAGTTTACAGAATCTCGTGCTCTGCTGCCTGGTCTCTGGCTGCACTTGATGGTTCCTCTGTTGGCAGAGACGCCGGGTGGACTCACCGCTGGTTTGCGGAACGAGACTTTCGCGCTGGCCGCCCAGGGTCCCGGGGTCTTGACACTGGCGTTGACGACCATTACATTGGAGAAGACGGCGCAGCAGCTGATCTGCACCTCAGCCCCGCACGGGAACACGATCGTCCTCCTGCCTGGCAACTCTGTAACCACAACATCACCATCACCATCTCCCCAGCAAACACAGGGCGGCCAAAATGTCACCATCACCATCACCGCGCTCAGTGCCTCATCACTGGGCGCAGACTGGATCCAAAACACACAGTCACTACACTTTAAGCGCTCCAGGATGCTACACTGTGTGAAGGACGCTTTATGATAATAATAATCCTTGCATTTGATTTCGCTCCTTATCACATCGTTGAGACGTCTCAAAGCGCTTCACAGGATATACTGTAAAGTAAATTGAAAGTATATTTTGTGGAAGAATATCATATCCCCTCCCCCCAGCCCCCAAACCCCCGCCATTCATCCCACTATCAGCTCACTCTCCCCCACCACCCGTTACAACAGCAGCTTCATGCAGAGTAGCGTCTTGGAGAGCTGACCCCCAAGGAATGCTCCCATGAGCTCATGTATGAGGGGGGGGGGCATCGACCACTGCGCTGGGCAGGAATGTGGGGGCTGTGTGTGTGAGGGAGCTCTGGGGGGTGGGGGCTGTGTGTGGGGGAGCGCTGGGGGAGGGGTCTGTGTGTGGGGGAGTGCTGAGGGGGGTCTGTGTGTGGGGGAGTGCTGAGGGGGGTCTGTGTGTGGGGGAGTGCTGAGGGGGGGGCTGTGTGGGGGAGCGCTGGGGGTGGGGCTGTGTGTGGGGGAGCGCTGGGGGTGGGGCTGTGTGTGGGGGAGCGCTGGGGGTGGGGCTGTGTGTGGGGGAGCGCTGGGGTGGGGCTGTGTGTGGGGGAGCGCTGGGGGTGGGCTGTGTGGGGGAGCGCTGGGGGTGGGCTGTGTGGGGGAGCGCTGGGGGTGGGGCTGTGTGTGGGGGAGAGCTGAGGGGGGGGGCTGTGTGGGGGAGCGCTGGGGGTGGGGCTGTGTGTGGGGGAGAGCTGGGGGGGGCTGTGTGGGGGAGCGCTGGGGGTGGGGCTGTGTGTGGGGGAGAGCTGGGGGGGGGGCTGTGTGGGGGAGCGCTGGGGGTGGGGCTGTGTGTGGGGGAGAGCTGGGGGGGGGGGCTGTGTGGGGGAGCGCTGGGGGTGGGGCTGTGTGTGGGGGAGAGCTGGGGGGGGGGCTGTGTGGGGGAGCGCTGGGGGTGGGGCTGTGTGTGGGGGAGAGCTGAGGGGGGGGCTGTGTGGGGGAGCGCTGGGGGTGGGGCTGTGTGTGGGGGAGCGCTGGGGGTGGGGCTGTGTGTGGGGGAGCGCTGGGGGTGGGGCTGTGTGTGGGGGGAGCGCTGGGGGTGGGGCTGTGTGTGGGGGAGCACTGGTGGGCGGTGGGGGGGGCTGTATGTCTGGCTGGTGGACACTGTCCGTACCGTTGGCCTGGGACCAGCACTGGTTCCTGGCTGTCAGCTGTGCGGTGCGGCCCGAGGAGCAGATCTGGTCGGTCAGAGCTCTTCGCTCCTTCAGCGAGTGTCTGATTTCCATCACCTGCTTCCCCACAATCAGCGGGTCCCTGCCCATGTCTGCCAGAGAGAGAGAGAGAGAGAGTGACTGTCTGAGGAGGGAGAGGGAGTGACTGTCTGAGGAGAGAGAGAGAGAGAGAGACAGCTCAGCCCAGGGGGTACAGAGAGAGCGCGAGAGAGTGAGTGACTCTTTAGGGAGGGAGGAGAGAGTGACGGCTCAGCCCGGTGGGGAAGGTGGATGTTAAAGATCCCGCGGGAGTTTCTCTTTCTCCAGTGTCCGAGCATCCATCAATTTGTGCCCAGCAACGTCCCACCACAGCCCCGGGGCGAGTGACCAATATGTTATCTGGGGATTGTTGTCCAGGACACCGGGAGAGAGAGAAAAACTCCCTTCTCTGTTCCAATTGCGCTGCGGGATCTTTAACGCCCACAGACAGGCACAGACAGGACCTTGGTTTAATGTCTCGCCCGAAGGACGGCATCTCTGACAATGTGGTCTTTATTTCAGTCTCAATCTGGAAGCAGTTTCACTTTGTTTTTAAGAGCTGCGGGAAAATGGTCTCCAAATGAAAACTGGATTAAAGAATTTTGCTCAATTCTTAAATTTTAGGAGACAAGAGAGTCACGCAGGCAAAGACCAGGTTGAATTTGGGACCTCCTCTCCTGGGCTGGTAACTTGAGTCACACACTGAGAACAAGAGGTTCTTATTGTTTAATTGTTCTGACCTGGCGAGTACAGAGCCTGGCAAATAAATAGGGGGCCCGAGGGGGCGTGTTAATTGTGCTGAGAGCACAGAGCAGATCACTAACCAGGTTTAACACAACCTCAGAATAACCCCTCGCTGGCTCGCTCGCCCTTCCCAGGGAAAACTTTCCCCTCCCCTCCCCCAGCGCCTGGTATTTCACTCTGGTCTCCTGGCTCCCACCAAGTGATTGTGTAACTGTTGGGGAATTTCTGTGCTTCTCTTACTGTTAATGTCTGGGCTCTGGGCCATACTGACTTATAGACAGCCTCGGTCACTGTAGCTCTGAGGAGCAATAGGGTGGAAATAGGGGGAAGCTTCTCTCTAAATCATTAGAGACTGGGTCACCTGTCAGACACAGCTCCGAGACGCTACCCCACGTGAAGATAGTGCAAGTTGTTGTCATTGTTGCGTTTCACCCACAAAAGACACAGTTGATCCACTTTACAGGATGTTCTGTGAAGCGCTTTGAGACGTCGCAACAATGTGATAAGGCGCTATATCGAATGCAAGGATTATTATTATTGCTTCATGCAACCCTTTGGAGTGGACCGGGCCCTGAATTCACCTTAACTCAGCCGTAATTGTGTTGTAAAATGTCCTCCCGACGTGAAAGGCGCTTTACAAATGTATTTTTCTAAAAGATTTAGAAAGAAAAGAAATAAATTCAGCCTCAGTTTTGAATAATAAGAATCCTTGCATTTAATAAGTGCCTTTCACGTCAGGAGGGCGTCACAAAGTGCTTCACAGGATATATCAGAAACCGTAGTGATTGTGCATTTTGCAGGTGAAGACGGCAGCCAGTTTTGTGCACAACATTACTCCACAACTAGCCGTGAACTAAATTAATAATAATCCTTGCATTTGAGATGTGATCCGCCAATCGACTAACAACCGGGTTCCTACTTACTGCCGGGTAAACAGAAGCCTGTGGAGTAAGGAAACTTGCCTAAGATTTCGCCCTGATCCGGGAATCAAACCCAGGTCCTCTCGCTTGTGAAGTGAGTGCTCTAACCGCTACGATATAGGACGCCAATCAGATATTATCTGGGGGATTGTTGAGGAGCAACCCGGGAGAAATGGCCATCTCTTTATATGATATTGTTACCCTGAGGTTAGCTGGAGTCCGAGCAGGGCAGGACCTACACACACACACACCACACACACAGACACACAGACATACACACACAAACCACACGCATACACAAAGACACACACACACACACACTTACCCTCAGAGACGTTCTCCAGGATTTGGGTGACTTTTTCTTTCTTCAAAATGTGTTTCTTCAGATACTTCATAAATATCCCTGAGCTGTGCTCTCCATCCTGCACCTCATAGGCCTCTGCGTCCTCACACCTGCCGTGAAAACACAGGGCATCCAGGGCACAGTTATAATAATCTTTGCATTTGATACAGCGACTTATCATGTCTTTGAGACGTTGCAAAGGGCTTCACAGAATAGACTGTAAAGTGAATTGACTGTATATTTGTGGGCGAACGCGGCAGCCAATTGCGCACAGCAGCGTCCCACAAACAGTCATGGACTGAAAGTTACCGATTTATTGTTGTTTTGTTTTTGGAGGGATTATTATTAGGCTCTGTGTGGAGTGAGGAAACTTGCCCAAGGTTTCGCCCTCTGCCTGGAATTGAACTCAGATCTCTCACTTGCAAATCGAGTGCTCTAACCACTGAGCTACAGGACTCCACAATAATTATTATTATTATTGATTATTATTGATTGTGGAGTCCTGTAGCTCAGTGGTTAGAGCACTCGATTTGCAAGTGAGAGATCTGAGTTCAATTCCAGGCAGAGGGCGAAACCTTGGGCAAGTTTCCTTACTCCACACAGAGCCTAATAATAATCCCTCCAAAACCAAAAACAATAATAAATTGGTCATTTTCAATCTACGACTGTTTGTGGGACATTGCTGTGCGCAATTGGCTGCTGCGTTCGTCCACAAATATACAGTCAATTCACTTTAGTGTGTTCTGTGAAGCGCTTTGGGACGTCCTCCCGACGTGAAAAGCGCTATATCAAATGCAAGGATTATTATTATTATTATTATTGTTATGTCAGGGTTATTTCACTTTAATAAAGAAAATGCTTCTTCAAAACTCACTTGTTGAGCCAGAGGCCAGTTAATCACAAGCAGCAGCAGAGTAACAGAGACGCTAAACCAAATTGAAGAATTATTATTATTATTAAACAAAGAGAGGTCAGGATGTGGAATTACCTGATCTCTGAAACCAGACTGGAATGGAATATGCTCTCTCTCTATCTCTGGAAGGACTCACTCTGTTTACCTAATTCCAGAAGTATTAGGCATAGGTTGGCAAGAGCCAAGGATTGCGGAACCCATGATGTGTGCTGGAGTCTAACCAGCCAAAACTGCATCACTTGTGAATGAGAGCACCATCCGTTAAGCTTTCCTGCTGCTTGACCAGCTAGGACTATCTTACTCATTCGGGTTTTGGTTTCAGGGTTAACAGGAACTGAGTGGGAGGATTCCTTGCCCCCAGTGACTGCTCTGGCCTTCCAGGTCCTGCCGATGAGCCAGTCTGGCTGTGCTGTCATCAGCAGTGAGTGCCCTGGAATACTGTGGACCTGACTGGCTCATGAACCGGGACTAGAGACCATCACGGAAGAGGGAGCTTTGTTCTAGTAATCCATTGCCAGGCATGTCACCTTGGAGCCACCTCAGCTCCAATGAGACCCGCATCCTATGCCTCTCAGCAAGTAGGGCAGCAAAAGCGCAAATCAGCAGTGCTCAATAATAAATAATAATAATAATCCTTGCATTTGATATAGCGCCTTATCACGTTTTCAAGATATCTCAAAGCAGTTCAAAGAATATACTGTAAAGTGAATTGGCTGTATGTTTTGTGGACGAAACGCAACAGCCAATTGCGCACAGCAGTGTCCCACAAACAGCCGTGGGTGGATTGAGTGACCAAATTATTATTAGTGTTTTTTTAAGGGATTATTACCCCCGGAAAAGCAATCCGCCAATTGATTAACAATTGGGTCCCTACTTACTGCTGGTAAACAGAAGCGTGTGGAGTCAGAAAACTTGCCCAACGTTTCGTCCTGCCCGGGAATCAAACCCAGGACCTCTTGCTTGCGAGGCGAGTGCTCTAATCACTGAGCTACAGGACTCAACGGCGAGCTATATTGTTTCTGCTGGTTAAAGTCCAGCTGTAACCCCAAACACACACTCGGGGCTCCCCAGGCCTTGGCTCTTGTGCCTAATACTCACTGGGAATAAGTGAGCAGGGTGTGTCCCTCCTGGGGGGGGGAGAGAGAGAGAGAGAGAGTGTGTGCCCATTCCATTCCAGACCAACGGAAACCAGACATGTGGTGCTCTCAGCAGTTTGGTTTGGAGCCTGTGAAGCAGGGTGAGGGGTTTCCGGCTGACAGAGAGAGAGAGGCGCGGCTGATTTATAGACTGAGGCTACACACAAAGCTTTCCTGTCCCTATAGAATGTGGGTTTTGAACACAGGCCAACTAACCTGCTTGTAACTGCCTCTAGCACCTGGAGAGGAAGACAGGGAGAGCGCGAGGGAGAGAGAGAGAGTGCAGTGCTGAGGTTAGCCTGAGTTCCTTACTATCTTGGTCTGTTTGCAAACTGTGGAGAAAGCAGCTGTGCCCTGAAATGGTTCACAAGAACATAAGAGTTTGCTGATGAGAAAAGATCAAGGTCCATCTAGAATACAATGTTATTGTATTACAGAGCGCTCAGAATTTGGTAAATTCTGTAACAGAGCCTGAATTTTGAAGCTGTTTTTTCTGTCACTTTCTTTTGAGCATCTATGGAAAAGGGAGCTTCAAAGTCGAAACTGAATTCAGCGATTTGCCAAATTCTGGACACCTAAACTGGGTGAATTTGGGTAAAGTCATTGGGAACACTCAGCAGATCAGCATCTACGGAGAGAGGAAAGTCAGTTAACGTCTCATGTCGATGATCCTGCGCCTGAAAAGCTCCTGCCATCCTGCTCCTAATACTCTCCAGAATTAGGTAAGCAGGATGCATCCCTCCAGGGAGAGAGAGAGAGTGCATACCATTCCAACAAACTATCTCTGGGATTGCTATGTGTAGATGGGAGGCCTGGAATTCTCAGCTTGGTTTGGAGACTCTTAAGCAACGGTGATGGGTTTCCCTGTGTGTCAGACACCCGGCTGGGCAACAAAACGTCACGAAGCAATAGACGCTGGATACTCACGTTGCATATCCATACACGATGTTGCCGGTGGGAGCGAGGGCTTGTGCCTCGGAGGGAATGTAGTTCTGATTGTACCTGTGAAGCACAATGATAGCAGTGACTATCATTTACCCGCTGCCAGCAGATAAACTGGGTGCTGCTGAGCCAGGAGGTATCTAGAGCTGATGTAGCGGCCAAATTGGCAAAACCAAGTCATCTGTGGAAATACGGGAGGCACATTCCTGCAAACCTTCCTTCAGTGGACTCACTCTCTCTCTCTTTCCCAATCATTCACTATCTTTCTCTCTCTATCTCTCTCTTGCTCACTCTCTATCTCTTCCCCCTCTCTCTTCCTCTCTCTCTCTCTCTCTCTCTCTCTCTGCCCACCTCCACCCCCCACTTACTCTCTCCTTCGCTTTCTCTTCCTCCAACTCCACACTCCGCAATGCATAACAATCAAACAAAAAAATTACGTTATAGGAGGGGGGGAGTGGGGAAAGGAGAGACGAGAGAGGTGAGAGGGTGGAGGAAAGGGGGCAAAGGGGAGAGGAGGGTGGGTTGAGGGGAGTGGGGGAAGAGAGGAGTGGGGAGTGGAGAGAGAGAGGGTAGGGGAGAAGGGAGAGAGGAGAGGGGAGAGGAGGAGGGGTGAGAGGTGAGGAGGGGAGGAGGGAGCCAGACTCACCATTTCCTGCACATGTCCAGTAGGACCACGTTAAGTGCTGTCTTCTTCTCCTGCATCTTCCACAGCACCTTCTGAACGTTGATACAGTTTTCCGGTTTGTAGGGATTTGGTGCGTTGATCGGCACAATGTAATTCCGGCCGGAACACTCGTACCCGTGTCCAGCGTAGTAGAAAACAGCTGCGAGAGCAGAGGCAGAGAGTCAGACAACAACAGCAGCAGCAACAACAGGTAAAATACTGCAGACCCTGGAAATCTGAAATAAAAACAGAAGTTGCTGGGACCTCAGTTTAACTCAGGACCTCGGTTTAACGACTCATCTGAAAGACGGCAACTCTGACAATGCAATACCCCCCCACCAAGCGCTGCGCTGGAGCGTCATCTTAGAACACTCGTTAACTCACTCTCCTCTCTCCATAGATGCTGCCTGACTGACTGAGCGTTCCCAACGACTTCTGTTTTTATAACAACAACAACTGGCTTTTACTTCAGATAATGTCAGGCTGGATCAGTCGTTAGCCTCCGTGTCATAAGGTTACAGATTTGGGCTCCACGTTGAGATTTGGAACTTATATAGTCTAAGCTGATGCTCTAATGAAGTATTGGGGCTGGTGGGGGGGGTGGTGGGGGGTTGCATTGTCAGAGGTGCCGTCCTTCGGATGAGACGAAGTTCAGGTTCAGGTGGATGTTAAAGATCCCATGGCATTATTCGAACAGTTTCTCTCTCCTGATGTTCTGGCCAACAATCCCCAGATAAAATTAATCATTCACTTCCTAGCTGTGTGCGTATGCAAAATTGCTGTGCGCAAATTGGTTTCCATGTTTGCCTACAAATACGCAGTCACTACACTTTACAATATATCTTATGAAGTGCTTTGGGATGACTTTTTGATGTGAAAGGTGCTGTATCAAATGTAAGGATTATTGTTGTTTTATTATTATTATTATTATTATTATACTACTGAGTGGCCTTCAGACTAGCTCTCTGGAAATGCTGGACACTTTTATCATATTAATAATAATAATAATCCTTGCATTTGATACAGCAACTTATCACGTCTTCGAGGCATCTTAAAGAACTTCACAGGATATACTGTAAAGTGCAGTGACTTGTATAATTTGTGGGCGAAGCTCGGCAGCCAATTGTGCACAGCGGTGTCCCACAAACAGTCGTGGATTGAGTGACCAAATTCATATTATTTTTTGAAGGGATTATTAACCCCCGGAAAGCGATCCGCCAATCGGCTAACAAGTGGGTTCCTGCTTACTACTCGGTAAAGAGAAGAGTGTGTGGAGTAAGGAAACTTGCCTAAGATTTCACTCTGCCTGGGAATCGGGCCTCTTGCTTGATAATAATAATAATTTGCCACTGAAAGAACCACAGGCCACACAAAGGGACGAATATTCTCCGTATCTGCACCATAAACTGTGAACTCTGTAACCAACACTCAACCACACAGCAACAGAATCTGGGGTCCCAGCCCCTATTACTCTTTAGGTTAAATTGCAGGTGTCACGTTCTCAACATCTATTTCGAGGCGACAGTGACGGCCCTGGCTGGTGGAGAGCCTATTATCCCTGCTGCAGCCAAATCTGGGTCCTGTCAGCAGTCGCAGTACCTGTCCTGGAGCAGAGACTCCTAGTGCCCCGGTGTGTGTCTGCAGCAGAGGGACAGAATGAGACTGCATCCTCTCACTCCGTGCGCGAGTGTGTGTGTGTTGTCTCTCCTCTCCCCCATTACCAAACACGGAGGTGAAAGAGCGAGAGGCCTGAAATAGCACATACCCTTCCCTCATCACCCTCAGCCCCCACTGCACTCCTCCAATCTGTCATCTGTCTGCTCCCAGCCTGACACGAATGGTGCCAGACACACACTCACACAGCCATTTCACCTTCAGCAACTAAGGGGTCTTTACTTCCACTGTGCTCCGATTCACAGCTGACTTCAGGTATAAATAACATTTCTCCAAATAAATAACATTTGGTTCAACGCCTCTCACATCAGGAGGTTGTCTCAAAGCGCTTCACAGGATATTCTGCAAAGTGGAGTGATTGTGTGCTTAGTGGGTGAACACAGCAGCCGGTTTGCGCACAGCAGCATCCCACAAACAAGCCGTGGAGCGAGTGACCAATTTAATTTGTGGGATTGTTGCCCAGGAGAGAGAAACTCCCTTCTCTTTTCGAATAGCCCCACGGGATGTTTAATGTGCACATGAACAGGCAGACAGGACCTTGTTTTAATGTCTCATCTGAAAGACGGCACCTCTGACAACGAAACATCCGCCAGCGCTGCAGCAGAATGTCAGCTTAGACGATGTGATTCCAAGTCCAGATGTTAGGCTTCAACCCACAACCTTCAGAATCAGAGGCGAGAGCCCTACCACTGCACCAGGCTGACACATCCAGCCGGGAAGTGATGAAGGTGTGGATGATAACAGTGGAGACCGGAACAGGTCGGCTCAGATCTACAGCGACACTGAATGATCCACAGCAACACTGAATGAGGACATGTGCTAAACTGGGTTCCAGCCACACTGTAACCGATGTAACATAACACAGGCCCACACACAGCTTCCAGAGCCCATGTTAAACTCTCCTCCATCTGCTTCTCTCGTCTGCCGCTGGGGACATGCCTATACATAGCGAGGTATGTGCTCAGCAAGAGCTGGGCCGAGAGGGTGCAGAGCTGAGCTCACTCATGCTAACAGCTGGGCCTGAGCACAGCCCAGAGAGCTACAGCGCTCCTCACACACAGCCGAACAGGACCTTATAGTCTGACAATAAACCTTGCATTTAGTATAGCACCTTATCAAGTCGGAAGGACGTCTCAAAGCGCTTCACAGGATTTACTGTGACTGTGTATTTTGTGAGCAGCTAGTTGCACACAGCAATGTCCCACAAACATTGTGAGTGAGTGACACATTTTAATTGGGGGATTGTTGGACAGGACACAGGTGGCGAGAAACTCCCTTCTCTTTTTGAATAGTGTCATAGGATCTTTAACATGCACCTGAACTGGCAGACAGTATCTTGGTTTAACTTCTCATCCAAAGGATGGCACCTCCAACAATGGAACACATCCCCAGGACTGCATTGGAGCATCAGCTTAGACTATGTTATTTCAATTCCCCATGTGGAGCTTGAACCCACAACCTTCTGACTCAGAGGCAAGAGCTCTGCCACTCAGCCAAGGGGTTTTACAACAACAACAAATTGCATTATACATTATATAGCGCCTTTCACATCGGAATGATGTCTGAAAGCACAGAACAGTCAAGAGTTTGCACCTGAGCTGGGGGCTGGAGTCAAGAGGGTTGGAAAGCCATGTAGGTGGGGCTAGTGCAGATGGGGACGGGATAGTTTGGATGGGACGGGGTCAGTGTGGGCGGAGCTGACACGGTCAAGTGTAGGTGAAGGCGGGGATAGTGTAGGCAGAGGTAGGGCCAGTGTAGGCAGAGGCGGGGATAGTGTAGGCAGAGGTAGGGCCAGTGTAGGCAGAGGCGGGGCTAGTGTAGGCAAAGGCGGGGCTAGTGTAGGCGGCGGTGGGGCTAGTGTAGGCAAAGGTGGGGCTAGTGTAAGCAAAGGCGGGGCTAGTGAAGGTAGAGAGGCGTGGCTAGTATAGGCAAAGGCGGGGCTAGTGTAGGCAGAGACAGGGCTAGTGTACGCAAAGGCGGGGCTAGTGAAGGCAAAGGCGGGGCTAGTGTAGGCGGAGGTGGGGCTGGCTCACCGTATACGCCGGAGTCCAGGAGCTGCAGGAAGTGGCCCACTGCGCCCAGCAGCTCCTCTTTGCTGAGGTCCAGCAGGGAGAGGACGCGGAATCCCAGCTGCTGCAGCAGGTGTGAGAGCTCAAACACATCCATCATGGTGGCCAAGAGCCGTGGGTGGTTTGTGTAGTTCATGTTCCCAATCAGCAGGGCCACCTTGTCTGTCGCTGCAGAGAGAGAGAGAGAGGGGGAGACAGAGGGGGTCAGTGAGTTCACAGCACTCCCCAGCCAGAGATCAGCCTTACAGAGGGAATGAGGGTGAGGGTGAGGTGGTCAGATGGGCCGAAGGGTCTTCTTAATCCAAATAATAATAATCGTTGCATTTGATATAACACCTTCTTACGTCTTCGAGGCGTCTCAAAGTGCTTCACAGAACATACTATAAATCGACTGTATACTTTGTGGGCGAAACACAACAGCCAATTGCGCGCAGCAGTGTCCCACAAACAGTCGCGGATTGAAGTGATCAAATTAGTATTTTAAATTCTTTTTTGAACAGATTATTTCCCCCGAAAAAGCGATCCGCCAATTGACTAATACAACTGGGCTCCTACTTAAATGCTGGTAAATAGAGACGTGTGTGTGGAGCATGGAAACTTGTCCAACGTTTCGCCCTGACCCCCTGGGTCATCGAACCCAGGTCCTCTCGCTTGCGAAGCGAGTGCTCTAACCACTGAGCTACTGGACTGCACATAGGGATGTGGGGGGAGTGGAAGTCGGATGGGCTGAAGGGTCTTCTTAATCCAAACCAATCCTGTGATGTTGCAAGTGAGGAAACCTGCAGTGTTTCTCTCACAGAGCAGTGAGAGAGTGACACCCTCACCCACGGGGGGGGTGTGTGGGAGAGACTTTCAAGAGGTACCTAAACTCTATACAAATCGGCCCACAATATTGACAGCCAAACCAACATTTAAAATCAACATACCACATGGCTGTGTCATCAGCATGTCTTTGTGTGTGTGTGGGGGGAAGGGGGGAAGATAAAATCAGCTCCATACACTGTATATGCGGTTGGGAGGGGAGAGATATAAAGATGTGAACTTTGAAAACTACCAATGACTATCGCCAGTGAACGTTGTGTGTAGGAGGCATTAAAGGCAATTCCACAAAATACAATCTGTTTTATCCTCATCTCCTGTTACTGAACTTTACTCTCGGGGGGTGAGGGGGTGGGAGAGGGAGGGTATTTGCTACATGTATTGGAGGGTTTTAGCCAAAGGTGATTGCAATGTGTGAGTAAATGATGAGAACAGCTTACCACAGAATCGGGGAGTGTGAGCTGCGGCTGAAAGAGAGCGAATATCCAACGGTCAACAAAAGCTCACAGTTCTGTACAAGAACCACAACAACAACTTGCATTTATATAGCACCCCAGAGCGCTTGACACTGGTGGAGTCTGACGCCAAGCCAGGGGGTGAGGGAGGGGGAAGGTGATCGAAAGCACAATTAAAAGGAAGGTATTTAGGTGGGACTTGAAGATGGGGAGGGAGGGGAGGGAGGGGACAAGGCGAAGGGATTGAGGGAGCGTTCCAGAGTTTTGGGGTGTAATAGCTGAAGGCATGGCCCCCGATGGTGGAGCGGAGGGGACAAGGGACAAACTGGAGGCCGTAGCCGGTGATGGAGTGGAGGGGTTAGCAGGTCGGAGAGGTAGGGAGGTGTGAGGGCATGAAGTGATTTGAAAACGAGTGAGAGGATCTTGAAATCGATCCGTTCGGTAATTGGGAGCCAAACAAGGACTGGTGGGATGAAACATCAGTCAACACTCAGTGTCTCCAGAGCAGAGAACACAGCTCCTTTACATTGTCACTCACAAACCAAACACAGTAAAACTCACATATGTCGTATCAGTCGTATTTAATGTAATATGAGTTACGAGCTGATTAATACAAGTAGTGAAATCTAAGTGGTTTTGATTGGAAACTGAATAGGATTTGATACTATACTACTACTTATGATAATCCTTGCATTTGATATAGCGGCTGATCACGTCTTCTAGACGTGTCAAACTGCTGCACAGGATATACTGTAAAGTGAACTGACTGTTTTGTGGGCAAAATCCGGCAGCCAATTGCACACAGCAGCGTCCCACAAACAGTTGTCGATTGAGTGACCAAATTATTATTATTTTGAAAAAAAAATTCTCAGGGATTATTACCCCCAAGTTTTTGTTGGATCATTGAGCAGAGACAGGAAATGTGTCCGATTCTGTCTTTCCAAACCCAAAGCTAAGAGCGAGCTAACCAGCACCAACACAGATAAAAGCTCGGATCATCGCTTACGTTTCCAAGTGTAACAATCTCATTCTGTAATACTTCTGTATTACTGCAGTGTGTTTTACACTCATCCTGAGGTTGACTATCTGGTCGCTTCACAGTCGACTAGGTCGAGTATTTTTTTTTGAAGGAATTATTACCTCCAGAAAAGCTATCCTCCAATCGACTAACAACTAGGTTCTTACTGCTGGGTAAACAGAAGTGTGTTGAGTAAGAAAACCTGACCAACGTTTCTCCCTTCCAGGAATCAAACCCAGGTACTCTCGCTTGCGAGGTGAGTGCTCTAACCACTGAGCTATAGCTGGTTTCCCAGCTGTCAGGAAGTCTTGCCGAAACTGGTTCACCGGAAAACATTTTAATTTATTTGGGGATTGAAATGTTTTCTGTACAGACACGAGAGGAAATGAACATTCAGACCTCAGACCTACCTGCCTGGCCGCCTGATGTGGGGGATTGAGCACCTCTCCACCTCTCACCGCAGTCTGCAATTCAATCAGAGCGCGTTAACTCTCAGATGTCTAAACCCCTGGTCAAGCTTGTTGAAGAGAACCCGGTTCCTCTCGTTTGTGAGGCAAGTAGTCTAACCTCTATGCTACAGGACTCTACGTCTGGTGAAGGCTGTGTTGTCGGGGGCGGCAGTAGGATCTGGTGTAATACTTTATAATAATAATCCTTACATTTGATATAGCACCTTATCACATCTTCTATCACATCACAGAATCTACTGTGAAGTCACAAACAGTCGTGGATTTGAGTAACCAAATTGTTATTTTTTTAAGAGATTATTACCCCGGAAAAACGATCCGCCAATCGACTAACAACCGGGTTCCTACTTACTGCTGGTAAACAGAGGCATGTGGAGTAAGGAAGCACGTGAAATGTTTTGCCCTGCCCAGGAATCAAACCCAAGTCCTCTTGCTTGCGAAGCGAGCTCTCTAACCAATGAGCTACAGGGCTCCACAAAGTAACAAGGCAGCAGAACAAGAGGACATAGGTTTACAGCCGCAAATGGTAATTGCAGGACAGACACCAGGAAGTTTTTGCTTACGCAGAGCGTAATTAATAAGTTGAGGCTAGGACATTGGAACTTATATCAAAGCACATCGATGCTGTGATAGGGGGAGGATGGTAGGTAAGTCTGTCTTGAGGTGGTTCAAGAGTCACATGTTGAGCGTGAAAGGGCAAGAGATGGACTTTGTCGTGCAGATGGTTACATAGGTCTGGCGCTTCCATGCCCACCATGTGTCTCTGAATCCATTTCACATGATAAAAACAATCACACCAAGAGCACTTGCCTGGCACGCTGACAGCCGGGGATGGTACTGCTTTCGGAATGCTGTCAACTGGAAGAGGACAGGAGAACATGTTACACAGGAACATAGAAACAGGAGGAGGCCATTCAGCCCCTCGAGCCTGTTCTGCCATTCTATAAGATCATGGCTGATCTGTACCTCAACTCCAATTTCCCGCCTTTGCTCCATATTCCTTGATACCCTGACCTAACAAACATCTATCCACCTCAGTCAGTCTTTCACTTGACCCAACATCCACAGCTTTTTGGGGGAGAGCAATTTAAACTATAATAATGTTCCTCAGATGGGATTTCACACTGAGCAGTCAACATAACCCTAAGATTTACACTAAAGATACAGTGGGCACTTCCAAGCCTGGCTCAGTGGGAGCCTCTTATTCAGTAGATTGTGGGTTTGTATTCGCTGCCGCGTTCACCCACAAAATACACAGTTACTACACTTTTCAGTATGAGATCTTTAACATTCACCCAAACTGATAAATAACCGGTTTAATATCTCATCCGAAGGATGGCACTTTCGACAAAGCAGGATCTCCCAAACCCCAGCTCTGCACTGGAGAGTCAGCCTGGACTGTGAGTTCAACGTTCTGACCACAAGGCAGAAGAGAACCTCAGCCCTGTAGGAAAAGTCATGGAGCGAAAGGCAGTGTATATTTCAGCTCGAGATTATATTTGGAATGCAATACTTTTTCCACTCTTAGCTTGTTTCAGCTCCCTGCTCACATACTGAGTCAGCTCTCAGTCTCGTGCTGTGTGTTGCCAAAGCCAACAGTGCTTTGAGCCAGAAGGTTTTAAGCCTATTCCATCAGCTCCACTTCATCTGTTGAAGTTGTAACTGGTGCAGTTAGATAATCTGTGGGCGTTTGATTTATTTCCGTTCCCTTTAATATATGAACCCTTACTGAAATGATTTGCATCCAGAGTGAATCAGTCAATACCATGGGAACAGTGAGGTTTTTCTCCCCCTCCCCCGCTTCTCTCATTTCTTCTTCCTTTCTGAAGATCCTAGCTGGACAAGCAGTGGGAAAGCTTGCCAGGCAGTGATATCAATGGCAAGCTCTGGGTTTTAGCTGGTTAGACTCCAGCAGTTACTCCAACCCACATTCTGGGCTCCCCAAGCCTTGGCTCTTGGCCAACCTGCGCCTAATACTATCCGGAATTTGGTAAGCAGGGTGCGTCCCTCCAGGGAGAGGGGGAGAGAGAGAGAGAGAGTGTGTGTATTCCATCACAATAACCTATCTCTGGGATTGCCATGTGTAGGTGGGAGCCCTGGAATTCTCAGCTTGGTTTGGAGACTCCTAAGCAATGGTGATGGGTTTCCACACGTGTCAGACACCCGGCTGGGGGGGGGGGGGAACATTCTGAAGGTGGTGACACACACACACTGGGCTAACACTCTTCAGGTATCAATGTCCCCTGATAATTTGTCCAATTTCGGGTCAGACTTCACACACAAGGCTAGACAGTGACTCTCAACAGCCTGTCTGGCTGTCGGTGCCCAAAGCCCTCCTCAGCCTGGCAATGCACATACACACACACTCCCCACCAGGGGCACTGGTTGGGAAGCTCAGAGTAGGACTTTACAAGTACAATTTTTCCTAATAGAACTCCTCACCAGCTCTTGTTTGTACAGCACCTTCTGCGTGAGGAACAGCTTCACAGACTGCGGGTAATTAGTAACAAGGCCAGGCCTGTCACACACAGATTATCAGAGATAACCAGAGATTACCACACTGTGGTGCAATACAGTGCGAGCATTTGGCAGACAGCAAATTTTGAGACATCTCAACTACGTGATAATAATAATAATAATCCTTGCATTTGATATAGCGCCTTATCACGTCGCAAAGCGCTTCACAGAATAAAGTGAATTGACTGTATATTTTGTGCGAAATGCGGCAGCTAATTGTAAAAGTGATCCACCTATCGACCTACTTAATTTTAGGTAAACAGAAGAGTAAGGAAACTTCACGCAGGGCAGCGTCTCGGAGCCCTAAAGGTTGAAATTTAACTGGCGTTACTCGCTTGGCTATGCAGCACACTGATAGGATCATGTTCCCACAGCTACACTCAAAACACCAACCAACACCCTGTAATCTGAAAGAAGAGACTGGGAAAAAAGCCAGGAGGTGGTGGGGTGGGGGGGGGGGAGACAGGTCTTGGAGTTGGCTGAGGCTTGGTGAGGTGGAGAAAATCTCCTGGAAGGTCAGCTCTTTGTTGCTGGGACTCAGCGTCACTGGCGAGCGGTGAAGACGACAGTGGCTGGTAATTACCTACGCTCACATCGGCTGGGCAGCTCCAGCACTCCTCCCCTCCCCTGTCGCTGGTCACCGCGCACAGGTACGTGCCCTGGTCTCTGAGCTCCGTGTGGGGGATCTGAGCACAGAAAGAACGTTAGTCAGCACAGCCCACACACACAACACACACTCGCTCCCTCCCTCCCTCTCTCCCTCATCAAATCATCATCATCCTTATACTTTACACAGTGTCTTAGTGCTTCCTCAATGCGCCTCAAAGCGCTTCACAGGATTCACTGTAAAGTGCAGTGAACATACAATTTTGTATGTGAACGAAGCAGCCATTTGCACGGGACAATATTCCACAAACAGCTGTGAAACATTCTGAAGATTGGTTTTATTAACTGACATTGTTGGCCAGGGATCTGGGGGCAGGGAATCATCCTGCTCAGCTCCTGTTAACCCTGCAAGCCAAAGCACTAACAAGTAGGGTGGTCCTAGCTAGACAAGCAGCAGGAAAGCTTGCCGGACAGCAATATCAATGGCAAGCTATGCGGGTTTTAGCTGATTAAACTCCAGCAGTTATCCCAACGCACACTCTGGGCTCCCCCCAAGCGTTGGTTCTTGCCAACCTGCGCCTAATATTTTACGGAATTAGGTAAACAGGATACGTCCCTCCAGGGGGAGAGAGAGAGAGAGAGAGTGCATTCCATTCCAACAATCTATCTCTGGGATTTCCATCTATAAGTGGGATGCATGGAAATCTCAGTGTAGTTTGGAGACTGTTAATCACGGTGATGGGTTTCTGCGTGTGTCAGACACCCCGCTGACCATCCCCCCAAAAAGTAAAGTAATAGACTCTCATATTACAGACTTGTCGAAAGATCATGGAACTGCCTGACTCCCCGCTTACCAGCATCTCCTCCTTCCTGTGATGGGGTAACGGGGTCCCGTTTCTGTACCACTGGTAACTGGGAGCAGGGATTCCGAAGGCAATGCACCTGAGACTTGCTCTGTGCCCAACCCGCACCGTCTGAGATTCCGGCTGGAGTCCGATGACCAGACTTCCTTGCCATGCGTGGGGCAGCCCTACAGTAAAGAGAACATAGCTTAGAGTTACACTCAGCACCGACACCTGTGTCAAACAGTATATTATTCTACAGTTATTATTGGAGCTGAACGGGCTCCAAGGTGACATGTTTGCCAACGGAATATCGGCATCGACCCAACCCTAACCCTGTGAGTGCCGGTCTATAGTCTGGTTCCTGAGCCAGGTGGGTCTACAGTATTCCAGGGCATTCACTGCTGATGACAGCATAGGCCAGCCTGAAAGGACAGACCACTCACTGGGGGTAGGGAGTCATCCCACTCAGCTCCTGTTAACCATGCAAGCCAAAGCCCTAACGGGTAGGGTGATCCTAGTTGGACAAGAAGTAGGAAAGCTTGCCAGGCAGCGCTATCAATGGCAAACTATGCGGTGCGAAAAAAATTGAATTTGAATGGGAATTGTAATAACTATAATAATAATCCTTGCATTTGATATAGCACCTTATCGCGTCTTTGAGACATCTCAAAGCGCTTCACATATACTACAGTATATTATATATTATATTGTAAAGTGAATTGACTATATTTTGTGGGCGAAACATAGCAGCCAATTGCACACAGCAGCGTCCCACAAAGAGTCGTGGATTGAGTGACTAAATTATTATTTTTATTTATATGTTTTTTTGAAGGAATTCTTATCCCCTGAAAAGCTGTCCACCAATCGACTAACCAGGTTCCTACCTACTGCTAGGTAAACAGAGGCGTGTGGTGTATGGAAACTTGCCCAACATTTCGCCCTGTTCAGAAACCAGGTCCTCTCGCTTGCGAGGCAAGTGCTCTAATCACTGAGTTACACAACTCCAGTAATCTAGTATAATCCATTAACTCAGGGCATTTATTGTATAACACCTATGATCATGGAACATCTCAAAGCTCTTTATGGTGCTTTAATAATTGATGTGCTTTTAATTTAACTCCATTCCAACTATCTATCTCTGGGATTTTCACGCGTAGGTGGGATGCATGGAATTTTCAGTTTGGTTTGGAGACTCTTAAATTTTCAGACAACCCTATAAAATCGCTGTTGAAGGAACCCAAATGCCTTCCTTTGTGCCTCTTATTTCCTATCGGAGAGGGTAGTTACCAGATTTGATGGGATGAACCTTGATCCTTGCCCAGGAGCTGAACACATAGTGGTCCTGCTGGTCACTGACACGGCAGATGTACATTCCAGGCTTCTTCTCCGCCAGGGCTGGCTGGGTGGCACCCACCATCTGCAAACACGCAGCTACAGTCACAGGCTGCTACAGGTGCCACGCAGCGGGTGAGGTGTCTCCCACACTCCACCCCCCAACACACACACCCACCCACTCACCCCTCCCATCCACACCCTCCCACACACCCCCACGCCCACTCCCATTCCCACCGCAATCCATCCAGACACACACACACGTGCTCACACACACAACAAACCTATGCACTACCAAACTCACACGTCAACATCCATCCACTTACATACCCACACCAACACACATCTCCACCGGTAAGGTTCCACAACACACCCACTCACCTACACACCCACGCACACCTACACACCCACGCACACCTACACCCCCACGCACACCTACACACCCACGCACACCTACACACCCATGCACACCTACACACCCACGCACACCTACACACCCACGCACACCCACACACTCCTACACACACCTACATCCCCACGAACACCTACACACCCACGCACACCTACACACCCACGCACACCTACACACCCACGCACACCTACACACCCACACACTCCTACACACACCGACATCCCCACGAACACCTACATCCCCACGCATACCTACACACCCACACACACCTACACACCCACACACACCTACACACCCACGCACACCTACATCCCCACACCCACCTACACATCCACGCACACCTACATCTCCATGCATACCTACATCCCCACACACCCGCACACATCTACACACACATCTACACACCCACGCACACCGGCCGGTGAGATTATACACACACGGCTGACAGTTTGCGAGGTTGCACATGGGGCGTTGAGAGCCTCTCCTAATGCTCCCCACTGCACAGCACAATTGGGAAAGTCGTCCAGGGGCAGAGGCCAAATTCCCCCCCGTTCACAATTATGTGATTGTATTGTATCGCTGTGTGATTTAGGATGTATCAAAAGATCACTAGCCCAAATAGTGGGGTAATCCTGCCACTGTATAAATCATTGGTGAGACCATACTTAGAGTACTGTGTACAGTTCTGGTCATCACCGTACAAAAAGGATTTTGAAGAAATTGAGAAGATACAGAGGAGGGCAACCAGAATGATTGAGGGAATGGAAGGACTGGACTATGAGGAGTGACTAAGTAAACTGGGCATATTCACGCTGGAAAAGAGAAGATTGAGAGGCGACATGATTGCTGTATGGAAGATTATAAAGGGGCCAAACAATATAGATCATGAGAGGCTGTTTCAACTTGTCCAGAATAGTAAAACCAGAGGACACGGCCTGCGATTGAAGGGGTCAAATTCCGAATGAATCTATGCAAACACTATTTCAATGAGCAAATAGTGAAGCTGTGGAACAGGTTGAAGCAGGAAGTGTTGATTCCTTCAAACACAATTTAGATCACTTTCTTTTAGGAAACAACATTACGGGATATAACACATAGGTAGTTTGGGACATATGTACATGTGGAAGGAGGAAGGCGAACTAGATAGATCTTGGTCTAGGATTGTTTATGTTCTTATGATTTACAGGCTACTGAACCCACAAACACCAGCTCCCCATCCACAGCTTGGATTTCAACTTTGGCATTGTTCGTCCAACAACCCCTTCCCCTTTCCCACCCCCGGACCACTTTCTGTGTGGGAGAAGGAACTCTTACGAACCCCTTCTTTCACATCTGAGGTTACGACCTTGACCTCATGCTCTGTTGCTTCCCCCCACCCACACCTTCTCTCCCCAGAAGAGAGCTTAGTGTGGAATCAGGACTAAATGAATGGGTGCTTCCCACGCACATAGAGAACCTCAACGCTCTCTCTGTCTTTCCACAAGAGCATTGTTTCAGAAAAAAACCCATTGCATTGAGGGGAAACCCCCCGAGAGACTGAATGACAGGCAATTACATGTCAATGTGTATTTATGTGTTTTATTGACTGTTGCCCTTTCAAATGGTATGATGTGGAAGGGTACAGCCAATGACTGGCACCCAGTTCGAGTCCTAGTTAATCCACACTCCCTCAGTAAACTCAGTCAACTAAATCAGTTTCCAACGACAACTTCACGGCAATTGGTGGCCACTCACGCTTTCACTTCCCCTTTTTTGGCTCACAGCCCAGTGACGCTTTCGTTGCCTTTGATGTACATTGGGCGATGACCTCATTGGCCTCCATGAAAGGAATATGACTCAACTTTCCCATCATGTGAGGGACTCCATGGTCACATAAAGAACATAAATACACTTCGCACCATATTCCACTAACTGGCGCCTCCTTATTCAAACTCAACAACAGCAAGAACAACAACAACTTGCGCTTATATAGCGTCCTCCACGCAGGGTAGAGTCTCAGAGCGCTTAACTCAAACTCTGACACGTACGAGATCAAAAAATCCTTTCATTTGATCTAATTCCTTAGCACATCAGCAAAATGTCTTAAAGGGCATCACAGGATTTCCTGTAAGGTGCTGGGGGAGCATTGTTGGAGGTGCTCCATCCCCCAGTGCCTTCGCCGCCTCCTCCCTTTCCTCCTTCAAGGCCGGTCTCAAGACCTTTCTCTTTGACTGTGCCTTCAGCTCCCCTCTCGGCTCTCTACCCCTCCCCGCTCTCTCCCTTCCCTTCCCTCCCCTCACCCTGACCATCTCCCCCCTCCTCGCTCCCTCCCTTCCCTCTCCTCACCCTGATCATTTCCCCCCTGCTCGGGTCCCGACCCAACTGTCCGGCGCCTTGGGACGTCCTCCCAATGTGAAAGGCGCTCTATTAATGAAATCTTGTTGTTGTGCTAACAATATGATGTTCGATAAGACGTTACACTATCTGCCTGTTCAGGCGGATGTTAAAAATCTCTATGGCACTATTGGAAAAGAGAAGGGCGTTTCTCTTTCTCCTGGGATCCTGGCCAACAATCCTCCAAATAAAAATAGTTGCTCACATTCCATGGCTGTTTGTGGGCCATTGCTGTGCGCAAATTGGCTGCTGTGTTCATCTACAAAATACACAGTCACTACACTTTGCAGGAAATCCTGTGAAGCAAATCCTTTGCGATGTTCTCCCGATGTGAAAGGTGTTCTATCAAATGTAAGGAGAGCTTGCTACTGTAATACAACAACAACAACAAGATTGCATCTATAGAGCGTCGGGAGGACGTCCCAAGGCACTGGACAGTTGGGTCGGAACCCGAACAGGGGGGAAATGGTCAGGGTGAGGGAAGGGAGGGAGCGAGGAGGGGAGGGAAGGGAGGGAGCGAGGAGTGGGTAGAGAGTCGAGAGGGGATCTGAAGGCACGGTTGAAGAGAGAGGAGTGTAGCAATATTTTCTGAAGTTGGACCATTTTTATAAGAACAAGTTGTCGTCGTTGTCATCTCGACATTGCTTGGCTTAAACCGACCATGTCCGAAAAAATGATCTGGTGCTGGAGATGACACCAGAGGTCAGTAACAGAGAGAATAATAAGAATCCTTGCATTTGATACAGGGCCTTATCACATCAAATTTTTTAAGGGATTGTTATCCCCGGCAAAGCGATCCGCCAATCGACTAACAACTGGGATCCTACTTACTGCTGGGTAAACAGAGGCGTGTGGAATAAGGAAAACTGCCTAAGGTTTTGCTCTGCCCGGGAATCGAACCCGGGTCCTCTCACTTGTGAGGCAAGTGCTCTAACCATTGAAGTACAGGACTGCACCAATGGAGTCTTCAGAATGGTGAAAACCCAAGAGAGGTGGGACCGTTAGTGGTCAAGTTGTCCTATGTTAAGGGTCTCCACATCAAGCACTGCTCGTGTGTGCAGAGAGTCTCAGAATAACAACAAGAGTCACGCAGATCTCTGGGGAGGTCTTTTACACTGTAAAAAGGTTCCCAACACTGCAGTGGCTGCATGGTGCACAGTGTGGTGTCCAAAGTTCCTGTTTCTTCCATTTTGGTCTCCGTGGCAGTGGGGGGAGTGGAGGGGTTTAGGAATGGGCTGAGGGAGAACAAGATCTGATCAACTGTGTGTTAACAGGGGCTGACACTCAACAACACTGCTGCCACTTAACAACAAGCATGAGGGCTGCAGGGGCTAAACACCGAGAGCTGGTGGTAGTGGGGGGTTAAACACAGGAGAGAAAGCGAGAGGATAGAGATATTTCCTGGTGGGAAATGTAGTGGCTGGTTAAGGAATGGGATAAGCTCACCACGCTATCCCCAGCAAACACCCTGTGACAGGCTCAAAGACAGGACGGAAAGGGAAACCACAGGAGTGTTTGGATGCTCTGATCCTAACCCCCTCCTCCGTCTCACTCTGACTGCAACAACACTAACAGCCTCTCCTATTGAGAAGCCGAGCACACCTGGCCCTGTGTCCTCCAGCACTGCTCCCACACAGAGACAACTACGGTCCGGTTTGGAAGGGTTAATCAACACTGCTTTTGCTGGGTGTGTATCACAGTACAACAACAGCAGCTTGCACGTTTACAGCTCCCTTCATGCAGGGTAGCGTCTCGGAGTGCTGAACAATGGCAGAAAACATGAACATCTGTCAAAAGATCGGGTGTGGTTTCAAGCCCCAAGGTTCGGACTTGGAATCACAAAATCTGAGCTCACACTGCAATGCAGCTCTGGAGGGTGTTGCATTGTCGGAGGTGACGTCCTTCGGATGAGATGTTAAACCAAGGTCCTGTCTGCCTGTTCAGGTGGATGTTAAAGATGCCATAACGCTGTTCGAATCAAGAAGGGAGTTTCTCTCTCTCTCCCGGTGTCCTGGCCAAATAAAATTGGTCGCTCACTTCATGGGTGTTTATAGGATCTTGCTATGTGCACGGTCAAAGAGGAAGGTCTTTAGACTGGACTTGAAGGAAGCAAGACAGAAGGGGAGAGGCGGAGGGATTGCGGGATAGAGTTCCAGAGTGTGGAGGCAGAGATGCTGAATGCGCGACCGTTAATGGTGGGCTGGGAAGTGCGGGAGCCGTGGTGTAGGCTGGTGTCCGCCGAGCAGAGCGAGCGGACAGGCTGGTATGCGGTTAGGAGGTCACAGAGGGAGGGGGGAACAAGACCATGGATAACGACTTGATCAGGCGTTATATCAAATGCAAGGATTATTTTTGTTATCATAGAATCCCATTGACATGCTTTGAGGCGTCCTACCAACGTGAAAGACGAGCTATCAGATGTGAGGACTATTGCATTTTAATAAAACAAAAACGCTTCTTTAAAATCGGGTTCCACTTGTCGAGCCAGGGGCCTAGTTGGTGTAGAGCAGCAGCAAAGTAATCATTGCTTGAGCTGAACACCTCTTAGCACTATGCGAGGAGGCGCTGACTGAGAGTACAGACCTGGTTCCCCAGTACAGTACACAGATGACTGACTCGGGGCGAGTTTGGTAGATCTGACCAGCAGATGAAAGACACAGAGGGAAACACAGCTATCGACTGCTTCCACAGTCAACAAATACAGAAGTGATTGATATTGATATTATTGATATTATTATTGTTGTTGATATGGTCCCTTTTCATGTTTGCTCAGCTCCTTTCCTTCTTTCACTTTGATCAAAAGAACAAAAAATGGAAACACTACTTCAGGAAGCGAGTAGTAAACTTATGGAACTGGCTCCCTGGGGAGACTGACGATGGAAGCAGGAAATGTCATTTATTTCAAGAACAAATGAGAATGATTTCTGCTAGAAAATAATATCTGGAGATACAATGTATAGTTTGGGACATGACAGGTCAAGCGACTTCCAAGAACCACCAGGAAGGCAAACTAGATGGACCTTGGTCTTCTTCCACCAGCAAATTCTTGTGTTCTTATGTTCTTATCAATTACCCCTTATGTCCGCCTTCCCGTAGAAATTTACAGTACTGAGCGAGGCAATGAAAGAGCTGTCCATTACTCCTATTCCCCTGCGATATGGCATCTGCATATAGTGTTGGCTGACACTCCAACGCAGTGCTGGGGAGGTGCTGTTCTTCAGATGCCAGTTCAGGGGGATGTGGTACTATTGGAAAAGAGAAGGGAGTTTCTCTCTCTTCCGGTGTCCTGACCAACAATCCCCCAAATAAAATTGGTCACTCACTCCATGGCTGTTTGTGGGATATTGCTGTGCCCAAATTGGCTACAGCATTTGCCTACAAAACACACAGTCACTACACTTTATGTAAAATCCTGTGAAGTGCTTTGAGATGTCCTCTCGATGTGAAATGAGCTGTACCAATGAAAGTTTTTAAAATTATAATGTAAATATGATTAATATTGATTATTTGACCCCGTGGGAATACTGAAGCTGTTAGATTGCAAGCATGTCACTCTACAGCTTGACAGTGTGTTCCAGTAAAGGCAGAAAATCTATGCTCGATTTGGTAACAGACAAAGGAAGAGCAGTTTCCTCTCAGCTCTCTGTTGCCTGTTATGTTGCGGGTCGTGGTCTGGCTGCCGGCCTAAATCCTGTTGTCTCTTTAAGCATCTCCACCGCTCAAAATATGTAACAGGAACCTACACGGCACTGATCCCAGTCACTTTGTATCAGAGAGTCTCAATTAACGTTTGCGCTCTGATTTGCGCACAGGTTAGAACGTGAGGAAATTCCTGCAGGTAACAACTTGCTCAACTGCAGCAGCCAAGGTCTTAATACCCACGCAATTCCTGCAAGAGGTTTAAAATCATTATTAATCATTATTACCGCAAAGTATATGTAAAGAACTTGGACAATCTTGATTGATCTTAAGGAATGTGAGAGAGAGAATTTGAATCAAATGGAGTGAAGTCTGTGTTTTTGGGTTCTGTGATACATCTGATGAAGATGTTGGATTAGGTGTTATTCCTTTCCTTATTTGGAAAAAAATGTCTAACAGTTTACCTCAAGTAAATTAAATGGACATTGCGTTGATACAAGAGACTCTACAACCAACTAAGAAGACCCGAAGGACAACATTCACAAGATCAGAAATATATGGCTTTGAGTTAACCTGACATTGTCCTGATTAATAGTCTTGGTCTGCTTGGAGGAGATCTTGAAAGGATTTTATGACAAGGTGTCAAGAAAGTACAATTAATGTCAAATTGATTTTTTTCAACTTCAGGGGAACTCCCAAAGGAACTCCCAGAGGAACGCCCAAATTCCTGAGATTAAAATCTTTGGGACCTCCTGTGTGTGGAAAGATGATTGGATGGATCAATTCAGGAGTATTATTGGACAATGAAACTGTGAACTTTGATTGGGTGGAATGGCCTCTGGCTACACCTTCTTATTTCGTCATCATGTGTACAAACTTTGGTGTATAAAAGAACTAAACAAATGTTAAAAGGTTGGGACATTGTGAGTTGTACACTGTGAGACACTGGATCCCCTGGGCCGTGGCTAAACAATTAGCCAAAGAATTATTGGTGTGTTGGTGTCACCACGGAAGGTCAAAATCAGCCTAAGCCCTGAATCATCTTCTGCAGTTGTAAGCATTAAACTTGTAACTGTTTAATAACCGTCTTTTGATTACTAAATTAACCCTTTGATTTATCCATTGCCGCTGTACTACCTTACCTCAGAGTCGTAGCACATTAAAACCCCTACACTCTCCGTAAAAGAGGGAAAGACATTGGTACTTCCTCTTAACTACTTGAGAATAGCCCTTTTTGTGAGCTTTGGCCTATATATAGTCCATCTCTTGAAAGCAATGTGGGTGAGTGGAGTTTCAATGGAAAGTCCCTCGCCATTATACTGCATTAGTGCAATGACGTGTGCCCAATACTGTCAATCGTTGCCAGCACTGGCGCTTTGCAGACTGAATTTTATATTAATAATAATCATTGCATTTGATGTAGCGCCTTATCACGTCTTCGAGATGTCTCAAAGTGCTTGACATTTCACCCTGCCGGGAACTGAACCCAGGTCTCTCGCTTGTGAGACGAGTGCTCTAACCACTGAACTACAGGACTCTACAGGAATTATGTCCTTGTGGGACAGTGGCTGGGGGCAGGGAATCTTCCCACTCAGCTTCTGCAAGCAAAAGCCCTTATAGATAGGGTGGTCCTAGTTGGATAAGCAGCAGGAAATCCTCCCAGACAGTGATCTCAACAGCAAGCTATGTGGTTTTAGCTGGTTAGACTCCAACAGTTACCCCAATGCACACTCTGGGCTCCCCAAGTCTTGGCTCTTGCTAATCTACTGCAAGGTGGAATTAGGTAAACAGGGTGTGCCCCTCCAGGAAGAGAGGGAGCATTGTATTCCAGCCACAGGAATATCCTTGTGTTAGTGACTTATGTGGAACTTGCATTTTGGTTTGGTGATAAATTTCTGCTTATCACACCCAGCTGACCAAAATATATAATTCCTGCATTTGATTCACGGCGGGATGACACTTCAAAGAGGGATCTTCACAGGATATTAAGTGTAGTGACTGTGTATTTCACAAGCGAACGGTACAAGTCTCTCAAACAGCCATGAAGTTGAGTAACCAATTTTATTTGGGGGATTGTTGGCCAGGACACTGGGAGAGAGAAACTCTTTTCTCTTTTTGAATAGCGCCATCGGATCTTTAACATCCACCTGAACAGGCACAAATGTTTAACATCTCAACTGAAGGATGGCAACTCAAACATCCTCCCAATGTGAAAGTCACTTTATAAATGCAATTGTTGATGTTTCTGACGAAAGGTCATCGACCTGATAAGTTAACCCACTTTCCTCTCTCCATAGATACTGCCTGACCTGCTGCATGTTCCAGCAACTACTGTTTTTATTTGTTGTTGTTGTTGTTGCTGCTGCATTGTCAGCCTAGACTGTCCCAACATGGGTCTTAGAAACGTAGAAACATAGTAACATAGATACAGGAAGAGGCCATTCAGCTCCTCGAGCCTGTTCCGCCATTCTATAAGATCATGGCTGATCTGTACCTCAACTCCAATCACCCACCCTCACACTGTATCCCTTGATACCCTGACCTAACAATATCTATCCTTCTCAGTCTTGAGCTCATACCCTTCTGACTTAGAAGTGCTACCGAATGAGCCAGGCTGACACCCATTCAACCATCAGCAAACCAGTCTGAAAAAATAAACCTGTTTAACAGTCAGACCGTGGATTGCTGTGTCTTGACCTTGGTGCGATGAGGGCACTGCACAATCCAGAGACACTCTTACCTCCTTCTTGCCCTCAAACCACTGGTAACACAGAGGGGAAGAACCCAGGGCTGCACAGTGAAGCACCACAGGATACCCGGCAGGAACGGAGGCACAGACTGGGTGTTTGGTGATCACAATACCTACAGATGGGGAAGGAAAGGCACCATGTTTTAAAATTAGATTTGAATTTGTAAAAAGACCCTGTTCACGTGCTTAATGTTATAATAATAATAATTTTTGTATTTGATGTAACGCCTTATCATGTCTTTGAGACGTATCAAAGCACTTCACAGACTATACTGTAAAGTGAATTAATTGATTGTATATTTTTTTGGAGCGCATTGCAGCAGTCAATGGTCAACAAGTCGTGGGTTGAGTGACCAAATTATTATTATTATTTTTAATAAACTCTCTGACACATTGAAAAAGCGATCTGCCAATTGACTAATGACCGGGTTCCTGCTTATTGCTGGGTAAACAGAGGCGCATGTGTGGAGTAAGGAAACTTGTCTCAGGTTCTGCCCCGAAATTATGTTATCATGTTATTGCTTAAAGTGTAAATGAATCGTTGAGCCTGTATGTTATACCATGATTTATACCAGACCTTTTAAAGTCCAAATTCCATCACATTAATAATGATTAACATAAATAAAAGAATTATTAATTATTAATATTAATGATTAGGAATATTAATATTTGTATTATCGATATGGTTATGTTATACTATTAAACATTATACATAAATATATATTATGTATAAATTATATATACCTTAGCTACATATTAATCATATTATAATTAATATTATTAATAGTAATATTAACAATTATTATGAATAATAAGCAAATAAATAATAATTAATGTAATCTGGAGACATGAAATTCTGGAGCTGCAAAATCATCCGATCAATCACAAAACAACACAACATTCAACTGCGAGACAGAACAAGTTTGTTTCACCAGCCACAGATCGATTTCTAGTGTCAACAGCTGTTGCATTTGTCTACGTTACAAAAATAGTCATTGCACTTGCCAACATCTGCCTGTGAATCACTTCGAGCCATTTAGAGAGGAGAACGGGTGCTGAACGCGCAGGGCTGTGTGTGTCCTGTCACACCAGGGCACGCCAGGCACAGACAGGTAAAACACCCTCAAACTGCTACATCTCTCGCTGGGAAAGGCACTGAGGCAGGAAACGAAACAAACGCCTGTGTTAATATTTCTCTCAGAAAAAAGGAACAATCCAAACGAATAATTGAACACGTTGTGCTCCCGCGTCATCGAGGCCCCGACAGAGATTCGCTTTCATTTTTGATGGAATCAAAATGGCGCTGGACAGTTGGGTCGGGACACGAGCAAGGGGGGAATGGTCAGGGTGAGGGGAGGGAAGGGAGGGAGCGAGGAGGGGGGGAATGGTCAGGGGGAGGGGAGGGAAGGGAGGGAGCGAGGAGGGGGGGAATGGTCAGGGTGAGGGGAGGGAAGGGAGGGAGCGAGGAGGGGGGAATGGTCAGGGTGAGGGGAGGGAAGGGAGGGAGCGAGGAGGGGGGAATGGTCAGGGTGAGGGGAGGGAAGGGAGGGAGCGAGGAGGGGGGAATGGTCAGGGGGAGGGGAGGGAAGGGAGGGAGCGAGGAGGGGGGAAATGGTCAGGGTGAGGGGAGGGAAGGGAGGGAGCGAGGAGGGGGGAGATGGTCAGGGTGAGGGGAGGGAAGGGAGGGAGAGAGGAGGGGGGAATGGTCAGGGGGAGGGGAGGGAAGGGAGGGAGCGAGGAGGGGGAGATGGTCAGGGTGAGGGGAGGGAAGGGAGGGAGCGAGGAGGGGGGAATGGTCAGGGTGAGGGGAGGGAAGGGAGGGAGCGAGGAGGGGGGAATGGTCAGGGTGAGGGGAGGGAAGGGAGGGAGCGAGGAGGGGGGAATGGTCAGGGTGAGGGGAGGGAAGGGAGGGAGCGAGGAGGGGGGGAATGGTCAGGGTGAGGGGAGGGAAGGGAGGGAGCGAGGAGGGGGAATGGTCAGGGTGAGGGGAGGGGAGGGAGGGAGCGAGGAGGGGGGAATGGTCAGGGTGAGGGGAGGGAAGGGAGGGAGCGAGGAGGGGGAATGGTCAGGGTGAGGGGAGGGAAGGGAGGGAGCGAGGAGTGGTCAGGGTGAGGGCAGGGAAGGGAGGGAGCGAGGAGGGGGGGAATGGTCAGGGTGAGGGGAGGGAAGGGAGGGAGCGAGGAGGGGGGAATGGTCAGGGTGAGGGGAGGGAAGGGAGGGAGCGAGGAGGGGGGAATGGTCAGGGTGAGGGGAGGGAAGGGAGGGAGCGAGGAGGGGGGAATGGTCAGGGGGAGGGGAGGGAAGGGAGGGAGCGAGGAGGGGGGAATGGTCAGGGTGAGGGGAGGGAAGGGAGGGAGCGAGGAGGGGGGAAATGGTCAGGGTGAGGGGAGGGAAGGGAGGGGGCGAGGAGGGGGAATGGTCAGGGTGAGGGGAGGGAAGGGAGGGAGCGAGGAGGGGGAATGGTCAGGGTGAGGGGAGGGAGGGAGCGAGGAGGGGGAATGGTGAGGGGAGGGAGGGAGGGAGCGAGGAGTGGTCAGGGTGAGGGCAGGGAAGGGAGGGAGCGAGGAGGGGGGGAATGGTCAGGGTGAGGGGAGGGAAGGGAGGGAGCGAGGAGGGGGAATGGTCAGGGTGAGGGGAGGGAAGGGAGGGAGCGAGGAGGGGGGAATGGTCAGGGGAGGGAGGGAAGGGAGGGAGCGAGGAGGGGGGAATGGTCAGGGTGAGGGGAGGGAAGGGAGGGAGCGAGGAGGGGGGAAATGGTCAGGGTGAGGGGAGGGAAGGGAGGGAGCGAGGAGTGGTCAGGGTGAGGGGAGGGAAGGGAGGGAGCGAGGAGGGGGGAATGGTCAGGGTGAGGGGAGGGAAGGGAGGGAGCGAGGAGGGGGGAATGGTCAGGGTGAGGGGAGGGAAGGGAGGGAGCGAGGAGGGGGGAATGGTCAGGGTGAGGGGAGGGAAGGGAGGGAGCGAGGAGGGGGGAATGGTCAGGGTGAGGGGAGGGAAGGGAGGGAGCGAGGAGGGGGAATGGTCAGGGGAGGGGAGGGAAGGGAGGGAGCGAGGAGGGGGGAATGGTCAGGGTGAGGGGAGGGAAGGGAGGGAGCGAGGAGGGGGGAATGGTCAGGGTGAGGGGAGGGAAGGGAGGAGCGAGGAGTGGTCAGGGTGAGGGGAGGGAAGGGAGGGGAGCGAGGAGGGGGGAAGGTCAGGGTGAGGGAGGGAAGGGAGGGAGCGAGGAGGGGGGAATGGTCAGGGTGAGGGGAGGGAAGGGAGGGAGCGAGGAGGGGGGAATGGTCAGGGTGAGGGAGGGAAGGGAGGGAGCGAGGAGGGGGGAATGGTCAGGGGGAGGGGAGGGAAGGGAGGGAGCGAGGAGGGGGGAATGGTCAGGGGGAGGGGAGGGAAGGGAGGAGCGAGGAGGGGGGAATGGTCAGGGGGAGGGGAGGGAAGGGAGGGAGCGAGGAGGGGGGAATGGTCAGGGTGAGGGGAGGGAAGGGAGGGAGCGAGGAGGGGGGAATGGTCAGGGTGAGGGGAGGGAAGGGAGGGAGCGAGGAGGGGGGAATGGTCAGGGTGAGGGGAGGGAATGGAGGGAGCGAGGAGGGGGTAGAGAGTCGAGAGTGGAGCTGAAGGCTCGGTCGAAGAGAAAGGTCTTGAGACCGGCCTTGAAGGAGGAAAGGGAGGAAGCGGCGAAGGCACTGGGGGATGGAGTTCCAGAGCCTCGGGGCTGAGAGGCTGAAGGCCCGACCACCGATGGTAGGACGGTTGGGGCGGGGGATGTGGAGCAGACCGGAGCCAGAGGAACGGAGGGTACGGGCAGGTAGGTAGGGGGATAGTAGGTCAGAGAGGTAGGAGGGAGCGAGGCCGTGAATGGCCGTGTAGGTGAGGATGAGGATCTTGAATTCGATCCTCTGGGGGATGGGGAGCCAGTGGAGGCGAGCGAGGGCGAGGGCGAGGACGAGGGTGGGAGTGATGTGGTCGCGGTGTCTGGTGCGGGACAGTACACGAGCTGCAGAGTTCTGAATGACCTGCAGTGTGGAGGGAGGGCCGGGAAGGCCGACGAGGAGAGAGTTCCCATAGTCCAGCCTTGAGGTGATAAACACATGGACCAGTGTGTCAGCAGTGTCAGCAGTGTTACTCGTCATAACAGTGACCCTGAGTCACCAACTGAAGCCAACATCCAGCCCATCTCTAATCCCATTTCCTGCTCTCTCCCCATTGTGTCTGTGCTGATGCTCATCCCTGGAGCTCACTACTCTAAACCCATTGCCTGCTCTCGCCATCGGTGCTTTAAGAAGATTGTGTCAGACTAACATGCCGCATTTACGGTTGCCAAGATTCCCGTGATTAATTCCTTATTAAGAAATCCATTATGAAATACAGCAAATTAGTCTTAAGGATGGCAAAAATAGGCTTTCACTATCAAACAAAACATTCATAAAATCAAGTCAAAGAGGAAAAAAGATGTCCCAATGTGGAACTCGAACTTGAGCAATTTTTTTTTGCCCAGCTGGGTGTCTGACACTCGTGGAAACCCATCACCGTTGCTTATGAGTATCCAAACCAAGCTGGGAATTCCACGAATCTCCCCAGATTGTTGGAATGAAATGCGCTCTCTCTCTCCTTGGAGGGATGCACCCTGCTTTCCTGATTCTGGAAAGCATTAGGCGCAAGTTGGCAAGAGCCAAGGCTTGGGGACCCCAGAGTGTACGTTGGGGTAACCAGCTAAACCCACATAATAATAATAATCCTCGAATTGGATACAGTGCTTTTCACATCTTCTGGACGTCTCAAAGCGCTTCACAGAATATACTGTAAAATGAATTGACATTTTTGTGGGAAATTTTTTTTTTGAGGGTTTATTATCAGGCGTGTGGAGTAAGGAAACTTGCCCATGGTTTTGCGCTGCCGGGAATCGAATCCAGGTCTCTTGCTTGTGAGGCGAGTGCTCTAACCACTGAGCTACAGGCCACATAGCTTGCCATTCATCTCGCTATCTGGCAAGCTTTTCCACCGTCAGTCCAGCTAGGACCACTCTACCCATTAGGACTTTAGCTGCAGGGCTAACAGAAGCTGAGTGGGAAGACTCCCTGCCCCTTGTGACTGATCTGCCCTGCCAGGTCCTACTGATGAGCCAGGCTGGGGTGTCATCAGCATTTAAAAAGAACTCGGCAAGCACCCACACAGGAAGGGGATAGAGGGGACGGGGAAAGACAGGGAATTGGGCATGAGGAAAGTTGCATTCCCTAATATCAAAATACCAGCATGGATTAATGAGTTGAATGGCCTCCTGCTGTGTCGTCCATTTCCATTGTGATCCATTCAGAAATATCCCAGTGGATTCTTAGCAATTAACTCATTCTGTGGCCAGCTGAGCTTTGGTATCAACACTGCTGCTTGGTGCCAAACTATGTGCGGACTGACGCTCAAGCCCAGATCTTGTTACTCACAGAGGAGCATTGTGAGCGAAAGCAGGAATCTAAATTAAGAGGTTCCTGTCATGCCACAAAGCGCTAGAGAGGACCCATGAGGAACCTAGAAAAGTCATCCGAACAGCACTATGTACTTCCTCTGGCCTCTGAACGGCAAAGCTTCCTCTTTAGAGAACATTAACATTAATTCAGAAAAAAAACATCTAATTTCAACCAAATGTCCTCTTGTCCCAGAGATCCTGGGCAGAGAGATCAGCTGAGGAATTTTAAGAGAGTATTTTTTTGTCAGCCGGGTGTCTGATACATGCAGAAAACCATCGCTGAGCTTCAGAGTATGCAAACCAAACTGAGAATTCCATGCCTCCCACCAACACATTAAAATCCCAGACACAGATTGTTGGAATGGAATATGCACTCTCTTCCTGAACGGGCACATCCTGCTTACCTAACTCTGGAGAGTATTAGATGCGGGTTGGCAAGAGCCAAGGCTTGGGGACCCCAGAGTGTTTGTTGGGGTAACTGCTAAAAGTCTAGCCAGCGAAAAACGCATAATTTGCCAT